GTGGGGATACAAGATTAGGATCTTCCCCTTGTAGAGCCCAGCCTTCTTCCAAGGGCTGGGAAAAGCCCCAAAACCAGCCTAGGGATAAGGAGCTCAGCTCCAGTGGCTGGCATGGGGCTGCAGTAGCTCCTGCTCTCCCCAATGCCCCCCAGTTCAGCTGTGCAAAGGGAACTGGTCTTGGTTAGCACGGGACCGCAACAGTGGGGAGCTATGGCTCTGTGGGTGACTGATTCCCTTCCCTTGGGGCAGGAGGCAGGAAGCTGCAGGAGCAGGACTGGATCCATTCTCTTCCTCCTCACCCCAGCAACACGGCAGCCCCTCATTCTCTTCCTCCTCCCCCCAGCAACACGGCAGCCCCTCAGCTTCTGTCCCAGGCAGAGGACAGGTCACAGCCATCACACTGTGCCACAGGCGGAGGGGACCACGGACACGCTCTTCGCGTCTCAACACCCAGACACAGCACGATGGATGGTCAGGGGTTTTTATTTATAAGAGCAGAAGGGAATCAACAGGGGTTTGGAGAAAAGAGGCAAATGAGGCAAGCTTAAAAAAACAAAACCAACAAAACACACCAAAGAAAGCACAGTAAACATCACACTGAGAGAGGAAGCACTTTAGGGCAGGGGCTCCCTGGGCCCATGGATATCCCCTATGCAGGTGGACAGCTCTGCTTTCTGCCCAGCCCATTGGGAGGTGGCACAGGATCCAATGCTCCGCCATGCATAAGTGACTTTGGAGCCTGAAGCCACCTCCGAGGTCACCTCCCCTTGCCCCACCACAGCACGGGGTGGGGAGGAAGGCTCTGTCGGTCACTAGACACACGCCGCCAAGGCCACTGAACTCAGAAGAAATAAGCAAAACAGTGAGAAGTGTTTGTGTTGAAGTGCTGGGACACAGCTCCTGGCCTGCAGCAAGTCCTGCCCCACGTCTGCACACACAGCCCGGGTGCCTGGGAACGTCAGCAGCACTGGGAGCTGCTCCCTCTCCCTTCCCTCCTCTAAGCGTGCCTTAAGAATCCCTTTGGAAGCAATGCATCGGAGCTGCCCCACTGCAGCGGGACCAGCTGCCTGCCCCATGCCACACAGGTCCCGGCTGCTGCACAGCCCCCATTTACAGCCTGCGGCAAGAAGGTTGCAAGAAGGTTAAAGTTCCTCCTCCCAAGAGCCAAAAGAAACAACATTTCCTTCCCAGCATCAGCCCAGCACCTCATGGTGCCTGAGAGTCGCAGAGAAGGGACGCAGAACACTTCAGCGCAGGTAGAAGGCTCTAAGGGACGAGGAGTCATGTTTGCCATGAGATAGAGGAGAGGGGCCAGGAGAGGCGGACCCCTCTCACCCAGCTCAGTACCGTGCTCTACAGGCAGCAGCAGCGAGGAGGGGACAGCAGCAGGCACCCAGGGGACGAGCCGCGCCAGCGCAGGCAGACACACTCTGGGGATGGTTTAGCATTTACTGTCACACGCATCCACTGGGAGACATGTGGGGACAAGGCTGCGGCCACCAGAGCTGCGAGCGTGGGGCTGGGAGCTGCTGCAATCCGCTCCCAGCTGCTGAGCATGGAGCAGGGATTGCTCCACATGGGAGGCCAGGGCCTGGATAACCATTTCCAGACCAGAGCGGGTGGAGATGGGGAAGTGTGGATTCACACGGAGACATACTTGTGCAGGGCAGGATGAGTGTTTCAAAGGTCACTTTGTGGTACAGAGCTCCAGGGAGGAATGGCCTGGCAGGACAAGGAGCTAGCAATTGGCAAGGTGAAGCCTGCAACACAAGGCATGCAGCTATGGCTCGGGAAGGTTACTGTAAGGGAAGAGATGCCACAGCGAAACCTCCCCTTCCTGCAAGGCACTGACCTTCCCAGAAACCCCACAGCTGGGAAACACGCCCTTCCCAAACCACTGTGAGGGGAAGGCAGCGCTGTGGGATCTCCCCCCTCCTTGTAAACAGCTCCTTGCTGTGGGCCCCGAGGAGAACAAGTGTGCTGCACACAGAGGCGAGTCAGGCGAGCAGCACCCCAAAACACACTGCGACCCGCCTCCAGAAGGATTCCTTTAGTGTTAAATCAGGAGCGTGACACTGCACCGTGAGACACTGCCAGAAACCAGCAGCAGCCCTCCAATGAAAAACACCCTGAAATCAGACCCAGTGAAGCATTCCTCCAGCCCGGAGAGGCTGCCTCCGCTCAGGAACCCCTGCCAGGACCGCTGCCTGTTTCGGGAAAAGCCATCACCATCACAGCCCCAAAGCAGAGTGTCCGGGCGCGGGCAGGGCTGGGGACGTGCTGCTGGAGCAGGGGATGGCCAGTGGCTGTGGGGAAGGAGTCCCAGGCCCCTCTGCCCCACATACCACCCCATGAGGGGCTGCAGTCCAGAGGGACGACAGGAGACCTTAATTCCGCAAGGCAGCCAACCTGGAAGGGAGAGCACGGGAGGGAAGGAACGTGAGAGCAGCTGTGACTGAGGAAAACCCTTCAGCTGTGCCTGCAGGGACATCTCTGCCCAGAAACCTCCAGCTCTGCAGCAGAGATGTGAGAAATCCTGCCCTGGATGAACTTCGAGCATCTGGAGCACACGGCCATGGCTGCCTGGGGTTAATCTGGAGCGTGTCACCACGCAGGCAAGGCCCTGAGGAGAAAGGGCTCCTGGTTTCTCTTCTAAGGACCTCGCTGCTGGCCTGGTGCCTCTCCCAGAGCTGTCCCAGGCTCCCAAGGGAGCACAGCCTCAGGGCGGTCCCCAGATGGACCCACTGGGGGCTGCGTGGGGAGAGGAAGCTCATCAGCTTCTCCTGGGGCAGTTCCAGGGAGACAGCCTGTTCCCAGAGCTGTTTGAAGGTCAGAGCCAAGCATTCCAGAGCAGCGGCAGCTCAGCACAGAGCAAGGGGAGACTGCTCTGCACCCCACGAGGATGCTGCTGAGCGCCAAAAGACGCCCTTTCCAGGCACAAAGTGGTCCCATGGACCCAAACAGCCACTTTGCCTCCCTGCATGGGGTACTATGGGTACTGCCCAGAATGGGGGCTCAGCATCCCCCCAGCATGCCACAACGGGCTAACTCATCCCCTTCCACTGCTGAGGGGTTCCTGGGGAGGGCTCAGACCGCGCCAGCGCAAGGCAGAGACCCGGGCGCCGGCGCAAGGCAGAGACCCGGGGAGCACAAACCTCCGTGACAGCTGGTCTTCCTGGGTGCGCACCGAGCTCTCCCCCACCGCGGAAGCCCCCTCGGGGAGCTGGTTGAGTTGGTCCATGATCTCCAGCCCGTTCTCCTCCGCGATCTGGACGATGAGGCTGTCTCCCTGCTCCTCTGGCGTGGGCCGCGTCATGGAGTCCTCCATGACCTGTGACAGAACCAGCTGGTCACCCTGAGCCGCAGGAAAAGCTGCTCAGCCCAACCCAGCTGCTTCTCCCGAAGATCCTGATGCAGATCCTGCATTGCCACCAGCCCTCTCAGCCAGAATGGCCTCATGCCAACAGCAGGGCTATGACAGAGGGGTGCAAGGTCCGGTTTTACCACAGACCCCCTCCAAACAATTGACACAGGGACAGGCAGCCTCCCTTGTTGTGCCACATTTCCCTCTCTGCACAGCAGCTTCTCCCCTGTCAGGCAGCAGAGATGGGTCTTCCCCCACGTCTCTCAGCTCAGGGGGGTTCCCACACCAGAGGCTGGAGTCCCCAAGGGGAACAGGGAGCTGCTGTGGAAGCCCCAGTTACGATTGGGACCCACAGTTCAGAGATGAGCCCATTCTCCCACACCACGCAGCCCCCAGCCCCTCCAGACTCCCCAGAGGCCACCAGCACTCACTGATGTGTGAACATCCAGATTCTGAACCTGCTGTTCGAATTTATCCATCACCGCAGACACCTTCTGCAGGTCCATGGAGCTCAGAGCCTTGTCCAAGGCCTTGGTCACCTGGGCCATGTTTTTTGTCACCTGCAAGAGGAGATTCCTTCATGGGTGCTCCCCAAAACCAAGGTATGTTTCCACTCAGAGTGAAACCCACATCAGTCAGGGAGAAACCAGCATTTCTGATGCTCACAGCAGTGCTGTAAGGCAGGACAGGCTCTGTAGGCTCACCACACGCATCAGGGTCCAGCTTGGCTGTGGGTTTCACCATCACTGAAGACCCCAGGCAATGCTTCTGGCGGGGGGGGTCCCAACCCACCACCCTGTACACACCACGAGGCAAGAGACCCCAAGAATGAGTCTCTCTCCCTGGGAAGCCATGGGTTAGGGATTTAACCCCACGCAGCACTGCTGTGAGGCAACCTCAGATCGTCAGAGGCTGAACTTGACTGGGAGGCTTGGAGCCAAATACAAGGGCTGGGGGGATCCTTTTTAGGGATGTAGAGCTCTGAAGTGGGTTGAGGCAGCAAGAGGGGAAGAGCCAACACACGTTCCTGTCTCGAGCCCCACGCACACCCAGAGGCTCTTACCCCCTTCATGGTCACTGCTGTCTGGACCTTGGAGGCCACCGCATCCACCCGGGAGGACATGCGGAGCCAGTTGAGCCCCTCGTTCTTCTTGCGGATGGCATTTTCTGCATAGACACGGGCACACTCCACATTCTTCTGCTGAAGGGCCTGGGAGGGCAAAGGGCAACCAGTTACACAAAGGGTGCACCACAGGTTTATAAACAAGCACAGCCTGTTTCTGCGGGACAGCTTCCCTGCACGAAGCAGCTCTGCTGTGGCTCTCAAACACTGAGCACGCCCTCGAGCGGGAATGAAATCCCTCTTGGTGTCACTGGAACACACAGTGTCCACCTGACACGTTTGAAAGCTGAGGGTGGGACCTGGAACACTTGGAGTCTGAGATGGGACACACAACAGGGCCTGAGAGGAACTTGCCCCTTGGCCAGCCCTGTGTGCAACGGGACAGGAGGCCAGCACCAGCCCGGCAGCTCCAACCCACCTTTTTGACCTTGGCTTGCTCGGCCTTGGAGTCTTTCTCGGCTTTTTTGGCGAGCTTCTCCAGCTGCTTTGCTGTGAACTGTGGATAAAGCACCTGCTTAGGGCCGGGAGTCCCGCACAGAACCGGGGCCCCGGGGTGAGCCGAGTACGACCCCCC